AATTAAACTAATTTGGAAACAGTGATATTTAAAAAAAAATTAAATTTATTTTATTTTTGTAAGATGATTTTTGTTACTTTACTATTTTACTATTAGATTATTATTTTATTTTTGTATAAAATATACTTTATATTTAGTATATATAAAAAGACAATAATGTTTTGTCAATATTTTTTTCCATTTTTTTCTAACAGTTAACATTTTAAGTAAGTTGTAAAATTTTAATATTTAATTTTTTAGTTAAATTATATATGGAATGTTAATTTTGTTTTTAATATAATTTGGAAACATTGACATTTTATAAAAATGATACTTTACATTTAGTATATCTAAAAAGAGAACAATGTTTTTTTAATATTACGTTTTTAATTTTGATTTCCATTTTTCTATAACAGTTAACATTTTTAATTAATTTTTAAAATGTTAGTATTTATTTTGTTATCTAAGTTATATATGGAATATTAATTTCGTTTTTATTTAATTTGGAAACAATGACATTTTATAAAAATAATAAACTAATATAATGATGTGTCATTATACGATTGGAGAACTTAAATCCTATGTGGACGTCCTCAATGGCTTATAGCCTCAACTTTTATATAGTATAGATTAACAACTTGTAACAGTTTTTAATCTTTTAAATTATTGATCTGTGTTGATGGTTCTTTAATAACAGATCATTTATTACTGGATGATGATGAAGTGAACAAGGAAACCACAAATCCACCATGGATCTGTTCTCTCCCACACGTCCTTGTCGCTACTCTTTCTTCTTTCCTCTTTGGCTACCACTTAGGGTTTGAATCTTTATACAATATTTTATTATTAATGACTTTGTGTTGATTTTATTTAAAGTTTTTTTGTGTTTACAGAGTTGTTAATGAACCACTTGAAAGCATTTCTTCCGATCTTGGCTTTACTGGAAATACATTAGCTGAAGGTATTCACTTTTTTGGCTTATTATTTTACTTACTCAACTTTAAAAAAATAATAATATATGTTTCTGTTGGAATGGGTAGGCTTGGTGGTTAGTGTATGTCTTGGTGGCGCATTTATTGGATCTTTATTCAGCGGGGGAGCTGCTGATGGACTTGGACGACGGCGAGCCTTTCAGCTTTGTGCTTTGCCTATAATTTTAGGTGCTTTTGTTAGGTATTTTTTGTTATAATCCCTTGAGCAAATGTTGGCCCTTTTTCGATTAGTTTAATAATTTGTTGCTTATGCTATAATCTCTTTTTGGCTCTTAGTGGAGTTAGTAACAGCTTAGCTGTCATGCTTTTGGGGAGATTCTTGGTTGGGACTGGAATGGGTCTTGGCCCTCCTGTGGCAGCACTCTATGTCACTGAGGTATATCAACGCACAGTATGGATCTTACTCTGCTACACGTTTCGTGCCGCTTATGTGAATTTCTTTAATTTTGAATAGGTATCACCAGCTTTTGTTAGGGGAACTTATGGAAGCTTCATACAGATAGCTACATGTCTGGGGTTGATGGCAGCCCTTTTTATAGGGATTCCTGTCCATAGCATAACTGGTTGGTAAGAAACTATATATCCTTTGTAGGATCTATCATAAGCACTTTAGCTGAATCAACTTCTGTTACGCCTCTTAATCGTATTTTAACAAGTTATATATCGTTATGGTACATAGGTGGCGTGTCTGTTTCTGGTTATCAACCATTCCTGCTGCGGCTCTCGCTTTAGGGATGTTTTTCTGTGCCGAGTCTCCCCAGTGGCTATATAAGGTCCGTTTTACATTTCAAAAGTTTAAGATGAATATGCATCACAGAGAATTCTGAGCTTCACACCAATGTTGTTGTAATTAACCCTGAAAATTACACTGTGTTTCTACACTACTCCTTTTATGATCTTTATCGATGAAAGTCTCCTCAATCTATGCAGCAAGGGAAGATAGCTGAAGCGGAAGCTGAGTTTGAGAGACTGCTCGGAGGGTCTCACGTAAAAACAGCTATGGCAGAATTACACAAACTAGAACTAGACAGAGCGGATGAGCCAGATGTTGTGACTCTCACCGAGCTCTTATATGGTCGGCATTCAAGAGGTATATAAGTTTTTCCATTTTCCGGAAAATGTAAATGCAAACATGTAATGTATTCTTCGTCTATTATATTTGTTACCTGTATAGTACTTTGTTATTCACTCGTTCCTTTTGCAGTTGTTTTTATTGGATCAACCCTGTTTGCTTTGCAACAGCTATCTGGTATAAATGCTGTTTTCTATTTCTCTTCTACCGTGTTCAAAAGTGCCGGAGTACCATCAGATATGGCCAACATATTTGTCGGGATTTCAAACCTCTTTGGTACACTAACCTTCTCCTCGATTGTCTTTTTTTCTTTTACATCGGCTTCTATGCTATATGGACCTCGGATTGTAACAGTGCTGTGATTATCAGGGTCTCTAGTCGCAATGTTGTTGATGGATAAAGTAGGAAGAAGGCTTCTTCTCCTCTGGAGTTTCATTGGCATGGTGTGTTGTACATTGATTCGTGTTGTTACCTTCTTTCCTTTTTCCTTATTATCATTCCTAATGTAATCTATCTTGATGTGTATAGGCAGTTGCGATGGCACTTCAAGTTGGTGCCACAAGTTCATACTTGTCACATTTTCCGGCTTTGTGTTTATCAGTTGGTGGGACTCTTATGTAAGTATCTCTATTGAATCAGAAATTTGTTTTGAATATCTTTTGTTGTTCTAAATACAATACAATATTGTCATATTCTGGTACAGGTTTGTGCTAACATTCTCCCTGGGAGCTGGTCCAGTACCAGGTTTACTCTTGCCTGAAATCTTCCCAAGTCGAATCAGAGCAAAAGCTTTGGCTTTCTGCTTGTCTGTGCATTGGGTAATCATAATAATAATAATGTGCTTGTTTTTAATCATCTCATGGATTGTATTGTGTTCATGACGTTGCATAACATTTTGTTGGTTTTCAGGTCATAAATTTCTTCGTGGGTTTACTATTTCTGAAGTTGCTTGAGCAGCTTGGCCCTCGGCTACTATACTCGATGTTCTCAACGTTCTGTTTAATGGCGGTGATGTTCGTGAAGAGGAACGTGATCGAGACTAAAGGAAAAACACTTCAAGAGATTGAGATTTCTCTGCTAGCCAAACCATGAATGTGTTTTTCAATTTTCCTTACCTATACACCTTCACTCTATATTGTCCACTGTATAAGGAAACTTTCATATACTCTAAACTAAGACGAGATTGTATTTTCCGGTAGAGTTGGTTAAAATTTTACGTAAAGGAAGTAGTGTCAGGATTTGAATGTATATGGGCTTCTCAATGTTCTCATTATAAGAGGTAAGAGTGCCCTCCATGGTACAAGGATGATTCCACCAAAATTAGAAAATATCAAAAAATACACTTATCTTTATGGACCATCTGAATGTAAGTTCAAGATGAGAAAACGTACATAATTTAGTTAAATTCACATTGTTAAAGATATAAGATCAAGTTTCAATACTTAACTGTAAAATAAGATGAATACTGCAGAAAACATTCATATGCATGTTCTTAACTGAAATCATTATCAGCTTTGGGTTGTTTACTTATTATCATTCACTTGACCAAAAAACTAAGTTACCTAGCTCTCTAATCATAATCTCACTTATATTCCCTAAATCTGCAAATATCATTTCACTTCAAAGATCTGCAAATATCATTTCAAATCCAATCTGCAAATATCATTTTCACCTGAAAAAAAAAATGAGAAAGAGAGATGAAAAGGCGATTTAGTTTTTTCTCTACCGACAAAACTATTGGACTTCCGACAATGAAGAATGGAGTCCTAACAGTGTTTCTGATCTTTACGCCGCCTTCAGAAATTGTATGTATGTATGTAATTTCATGTCTCGCAAACCAACCCACAAGACTTACATTTTTGACGGGACGGATTTGATTAGTCATTTTTGACGGGACGGATTTGTTGCGATACGGAACTAGTAGAAACGAGACAACTTGTTTTCCATCTCTAATCTAAACCTTGATCAATAACCTTTAAGCCCCGATATTAAGTATATATTTATTTATTTTTATTTTTAATCAATGTTATTCTTGAGATTGTTCTTTTCTTTTAGGTCTTAATTCTGTCATAAATACATAATTCAGTACTATTTGAAGATATCGTAACACGTAAGTTTATAATTTTATATCAAATAGTAAAAGTAAAAATATAAGAAAAAAACAGAGAAAACCTAGCCGAACATAAATAAACTGATAAAGAAAAAGAACCAACCATACGAAAGACCCAGTTAACATGCATAAACATAGCCGAATATAAAGCCAATAATTTTAATTTCACATAATCACCGCACAATAAAAAGACAATGACTGGGTAATAATTTGCTAACCACTCATTCAGAAAAAAAAATGACAAAAAATAAACCAATGAAGCTTATAAATTCCCAAAGACATGAGCTATGTCTCCAAAAAAGCAATCATATGAGCAATAAAACTTGAGACATCGTTTCTCATTGTCCAATCCAAAAAAAAGATTAAAAAATAGAAAGATAAAAAAGGTTCAAGAAAATGAGAGCCTCAATAAGACACATATGGAAACTATCTGTTATTGTTTTGTTGGCAGTCTATACTCAACCATCCTTCGCGGAGGAAAAAGCCTGCCCAGCTGATCATGCTGGTTCATCGGAGACTGGTAGCAGACGCGAAGCCGCCGAGATAATACCACCAGGTAATGGTGTCGGTGTCCCCCAAGTAACTGAGATGAATTGGCCAGGAAAATGGGAGTTATTCTTGAAGAACTCTGGCGTATCCGCTATGCACGCCATTCTTATGCCAAATAACAACAAAGTCCAGTTTTACGATGCAACCATTTGGAGAATTTCGAAGATCAAGCTCCCTCCTGGTACACCTTGCCATGTTTATGACCAAAAGACAAATGCCATTGATTGTTGGGCTCACTCCGTTCTTGTCGATATCGAAACCGGAGACATCAGGCCTCTCTTGGTAACAAACATTACTCAATATTATTATTATCATTACTACTCCCTTCTTTTCACAAAAAAAATCATTTTGACATCTTTCATACAGATTAAATTTCTTTTGAAATGAAAAATATTCTTATTAATTACACATATTCAACCAATAAAACTGATTCTTATAAATTAAAATTATTTATAAAATAATATATTTATAATTAATAATTAACTCAAAATTATATTGAAATTCTAAATTGATATTCTTTGTGTAATAAAAAAAAGTTAAAATGACATTCATTTAAAAACAGAGATTACCATTACTATATATATATATATATTTTTTTTTTTTTACTATATGATATATGGACCTTAATAACATGTTAAAAACCTTTTTTAGATTATGTTTGGTCCTAAAAGATACCGAAGTGTTCGATAGTTTATGTCGGACCACATGCTTACAATAACATCTCTGACTATAATGGCAGCTTTCAACGGACACATGGTGTTCTTCAGGAGGTTTAACTGTAGACGGGACACTGGTCAGCACGGGAGGGTTCCAAGGAGGAGCAAACACAGCTAGATACCTTTCCACCTGCGCCAACTGCGTTTGGAGAGAGTATCCAAAGGCATTAGCTGCAAGAAGATGGTACTCAACACAAGCCACTCTCCCTGATGGTACTTTCATCGTTGTTGGAGGCCGTGACGCTCTCAACTACGAGTACATCCTCCCCGAAGGTGTGGACAACAAGAAACTATACGACTCGAAACTTCTTAGAGACACAGATGATCCAACAGAAAACAATCTATACCCATTCGTCTGGCTCAACACCGATGGCAACCTCTTCATGTTCGCCAACAACCGTTCCATCCTTCTCAGCCCGAAAACGAATAAAGTCATCAGAGAGTACCCTCAGCTCCCTGGTGGTTGTCGTAACTACCCTGGTTCCGCCTCCTCGGCTCTTCTCCCTATCCGCCTCGAAGTCGAAAACCCTCCTGTCATCCCTGCTGATGTCATTATCTGTGGTGGTGCAAGACAAGACGCATTCTACCGTGCTGAAACCAAGAAAATCTACGAGCCAGCCTTGAAAGATTGCCAGAGAATCAGCCTCAACGAAAGAAACCCTGTGTGGATCGCCGAGGCGATGCCGACGCCACGTGTGATGAGCGACGCTGTTCTCCTCCCCAATGGTGAACTCATAATCATCAACGGAGTAAAACGTGGAACCTCTGGATGGGGTAATGGTAGGGATCCAATTTTCGCACCAATCATGTATACTCCAAACAAACCGCTAGGCCAACGTTTCAGAGAGCTAGCTCCTTCCCCTATCGCCCGCGTCTACCACTCCATCGCAGTGGCTCTCCCCGACGGTAAAGTCCTCGTAGGTGGAAGCAACACTAACGACGGTTACAAGTACGATGTCATGTTCCCAACGGAAGTCCGCCTCCAGAAATACTCACCACCTTACCTCGACCCGGCTCTTGCAAATTTGAGGCCAGCTATTGTGACCACGGCTACACCGAAACAGATCAAGTATGGAGCAAGGTTTGACATAAGGATCGCCCTTAACCAAAACGATGTGACGAAGGAGAATGTTCTTGTTACAATGTTGGCACCACCGTTTACTACACATGCTGTGTCGATGAACATGAGGTTGCTAATGTTGGGTATCTTTGATATCAAGAAAGAGGTTCGTGATCTTCATCAGATCCATGCCGTTGCTCCTCCCAGTGGAAACGTTGCTCCTCCTGGCTATTATCTTCTCTCTGTTGTCTACAAGGGTGTGCCAAGTGTTGGAGTATGGATTCAAATCGTTTGATTTTTTCTTTTTCCAGAAGTATAATAATTAACTTATTTTTTGATACGAACCCTCATAACATATGTAAAATAAAACCAAATTTTTGCTCATTGTGAATAATATTTTATAGTTATTGTACGTTTTTTTTTCTGATTGATATAAGAGAATTGAGAAAAACGTTGGCATGGATATGGGAAATAATTTGTAGAAAGTAGTAGTTGTATGAGTTTTATTACCTAATTTTTAGTTACCATTGATTTGATCCAACAACTAACCATATGGAAGAGATTAAACTAGATTTTGATTTGCTATTTGAAAATGAAGGACAACAACTAACAATATACTTTTTAATTATATAATAATTAAATTAATTATATAATAAATAAATTAATTATATAATAATTAAAAACATTATTCATTTATTTAAATGACTTTGTATTGGCTTTAGTTTAAATTTTGAAGAATCAAAACTGAAATACTTTTTTTTTTGTTAAACCAAATTGAAATAAGATTGTAGTCTTCTTAACACATCTCACACTCCTTAACGTTTGTTTTAGAATGAGCTAATATGTTTGTTCAGTTCCTTACCTTATAAACAGTTTGCATATTAATTTGATGAAATAATACTGCAATCGTAAAACATTAACCGTAACACAATTCACTATCTAATCAAATACTATAAATATTTACAAATTTTACTATTTTAGTTTATCAAATAAAAATATACTTATCTGATTAACATTATAATATAATAAAATTACAATTTAATAAAATCAAATAATATAAACGTTCACAAACTTTACTAGTAATGTTGGTTGTTGTCGATCTCAAAGTGTCATAATTTAAATAAGATTAGATGCGTGTCACTATCTATGAATTAAAATTTTGATTCCAAATATCGTGCACGATTCATGAGCATCGTTCAATTATTTTTTCTGAAAAAATATAATTTTACTTATGTACTAACAATAATCAAAAGAAAAAGTACTAATGCTAAAATTGATAAACCTGCTCCGTTTTATTCTATTTTCATAAATCGACAGAAAGGAAAAAAAGACAAAAAAAAAACAGGGGATAGAGCTTTTATCTTCACCGTTGGCTTCACTCGACGGACGGAGGAAAGTAAACTACCGCTTGGTTCAGAATCAATCACAGAAGACTGTGCTGATGAGGATTATCTCAATGGCCTCCACCCTCCGACCTTCCTTGGCCTCCTGCTTCTCCGCTTCTCCTCGCTTCCCCCTCGTCTCTTCCCTGAACCTCTCTCGCACCTCCCTCTCTTTCTCCCGTAATCATCCTCCACCTTTAATATTCATCATCAATCGTTGAGTAATACATATAGATAGAGATAACGTGGAATCAATTTTTTTTTTTTTCAGTTGATTAGTTTATATCTCGAACTAGAGTTCTGTCTTTTGTAGTATCATTCTTGTTTTTGTTTGTTTGCAGATGTTTCTGAGTCAAAGCTTTTGACTTTGAGAAGAAGTGTGAGCTGCTTAGGAGTAGCTGAATCTGGAAATACAGCTCAAGCGAGCACAGAAGAGGATCTTCTCAAGTGGGTCAAAGATGATAACAGAAGAATGCTTCATGTCGTTTACCGTGTTGGCGATTTGGACAGGACTATTAAGTATATATTTTTATAAGCTGGTTTTCTCTGTTGATACCAAGGAGAATTGAGATTAACGGAATCGTTTCTTTCATGCAGATTCTATACTGAATGTCTTGGAATGAAGCTACTACGCAAGCGTGATATACCGGAAGAGAAGTATACAAATGCTTTTCTTGGTTATGGTCCTGAAGATTCTCACTTTGTCATTGAACTCACTTATAGTAAGTCTTATCTGTATCAAAGTACTGTACTTTATCTAGCTTTATGGTTGGCTTATGTTAAGTGTTGTTTTATTTTTCAGATTATGGAGTTGACAAGTATGACATTGGCGCTGGTTTTGGTCACTTTGGCATTGCTGTCGATGATGTGAGTCTTCTTGTTTTATGGTGTTTTGCTTTATTCAAGTGTTTCCACTTCATGTGTCTTGTTTCTAAGAAGTGAAGTCTCTTTCTTTGTGTTCCAAAAAAAGGTGGCGAAAACTGTAGAACTTATAAAAGCCAAGGGGGGCAAAGTAACGAGGGAGCCTGGTGCTGTCAAAGGTGGCAAAACTGTGATCGCATTCATTGAAGATCCTGATGGTTACAAATTTGAACTCTTGGAAAGAGGTCCTACACCTGAACCTCTTTGTCAAGTTATGCTCCGTGTTGGTGATCTCGACAGATCCATCAAATTCTATGAGAAGGTTAAGTCCTATGAAATCCTTGTGCAGTGAGAGAGCTTACTAGCCTGAACCATATGTGTTTTATCTGATATAGTTTCTTTGTTATCTTCTTTTATAAGAATGCATTATAATCTTCTGATCATATGTGCTTCTTTTCTCTATAGGCTTTTGGAATGGAACTTCTGCGTACAAGAGATAACCCAGAGTACAAGGTAAGCATGCCATGCCTCATGAATCGAATTCTTATGACTTCCACTTTCTATATGTATGGCCTTTGCTGTTCAGATTTTACTTCCAAATCCTGCTACTATTGTGTGATTTATTTGTATTAGCTCGCTTACCATAAGTGGTTGTTTGCAGTACACGATAGCCATGATGGGATATGGTCCAGAAGATAAAACTGCAGTCCTAGAGCTGACATATAACTATGGTGTCACTGAATATGATAAAGGAAATGCTTATGCCCAGGTAAAGAGAAAATTTTGACATTTCCGTGTGTACAAATCTCTTTCGATGTGGATGTTAGCTATATTTTTTGTAACTTGTAAAACAATTATTGTCAGATTGCAATAGGGACGGATGACGTGTACAAAACCGCAGAGGCTGTAAAACTCTTTGGTGGGAAAATCACGAGGGAACCTGGTCCTTTACCAGGTATAAGCACGAAGATCACTGCGTGTTTGGATCCTGATGGTTGGAAGTCGGTAAGATTTTTATGCTGAGAGAGAGAGAGAGGTTCATCATTTTCATGAAAGAGCTCTGAATTATTGTGTTCGAGCTGCTAACCTTTTGGGATTTTCAGGTGTTTGTGGACAACGTTGATTTTCTCAAAGAACTGGAGTGAGAGGAGAAAGGAGACCACCAAAATGGCTAATTTCATAGCTATGAAAGAATCAAAGAAGATGGGTTGTTTGTCTTGTGGTTTCATATATCTCTTATTGGGAGCATTTAGTTTGTTCAAAGTGAATGATTTGCTTTTCAAATTCCAGTGTAGTTATGCTACAGGATGTTCCATGTTGCGTCTTGTATATTAGTTCTACTTATACCATATTGCCGTTGGTATACTAAACCCAATAACAGATGATGGAGACCCGGTGATCCTGATTCTACCCAAAACTTCACAACTGTGAATTGATTTATTGAGCCTCTCAACTTGTGGTGTATAAGTGCATGTTTTATGTGTAGCAGTGTTTTTCATATTAACAAAACTGATCAAACCTTTGATTACAGAACTACAAACTATTATACTTATGAATCTTCTTCCGATGTCTCCCTTCTTAAACCTTTCCACTTAACAAACTTGTCAAAAGCTCTTTGGTTATGAGAAAGTAGATCCATACATTTTGAGGTGAAAGAGATGAAGTATTAGTACCGGCCTAGACTTATGTGAATGTTTGATGAACCCCAAAGATCAGAATGGATGTAGCCTAGCTTAATCTTTGTTATATGTTGTGCAAAACCGAACGAGTCGTCTATGTGTTTGTACAATAACACAATTCTCACAAAGTATTATCTCTAAAATATTTGATATTTATGGGTATAAATATTTTTGTTTAAGCTTTTAGTTTTTGGCTATTTTAACACCAAATATAAACTGTATTTCGAATATTCGGATACTTATTTAATTTACAGTTGGGTTTATATTTTCTAGGTATAGAAAAAGTTATGTTATTTCGAATATTCAGATTTGGTTTTCAGTTCAGTTTATATTTTCTGGGTATAAAAAAAAATATTATTTTGATTATTCGGATACTCATTTAGTTTTCAACTCGGTTTTTATTTTATGGATATAGAAAAAGAATGAACAATTCTTTTAAATAGTCATCTTTTAAGTTTTTATCACAAAACTAGATCTCAAAAATTAAAATGACCAGAATAACAGTTTTTATTTTGAAAATTTTAAGTTTTTTTTTTAAAAAAAATTTCAAAACTTATCCCAAAAATCCATTTCTCAACTCTAAACAAAAAAAAACTAGTATTAATTAACCCAATGAGTAAAATGTATATTTAATAAAACATTTAAATGCTATTTTGATTATTTTAATTCTTAAGGTTTATATTTGTGACAAAAACTTTTTAAGGTTTATTCTAGTCATTTCCTCAAAAAGAATCTGTTTGGATATTTGTAAAAGTTGGTTTGGTTCGATTTTGGAATTTCGGTTAAAATGCCTAAACCGACCGTGCTTCTTTTATTTCACCTCGTTCAGCTAAATCTACTTCCGATCTTGAAGGGGGACACACGCCCAAAACATTGGTACCTGCAAATGAAAAAAGAGAAAAAAAAAACAAGCGCCAATATTTTCTCCCTCCTCAACATTTTAGTTTCCCTCTCTCTCCCAAAATTTCGAAAGCTAATTTTCGTTTTCCCTCTCCAAAAGCTTCATTTTCGTTTCTTCTAAATTGCAATCTCCAGTGATTCAGGAGACTACTCCACAAACCCAATTGGAAAGTCTCTCTCTTTCGAATTACAATCTCTTCAGCTTATTTCTAGGGTTTTACTACTTCTCTACTATGGCTTTGGATGACGTGAAAGCCTCGAAGCGCAAATCGAACCCTGGAGTTCGAGTAATCGGAGGGAGAATCTACGACTCTAGTAATGGCAGATGCTGTCACCAGGTAAGAACAACTACTCTGATTGATTGATCTTAGGTTAGTTACTAGTTTTGATTTAAGCTCCCAGATTCACAAAATGTTTTATTTTTGTGTGCTGAATCGATTACCGATTTTGTGGGTTTTGTAGTCGTAGGATTGAATTTGGTTTTATTTCTGTTATAGTGTCGACAGAAGACGATGGACTTTGTTGCCTCCTGCAAGGCCATGAAGAAGGAGAAACAATGTTCCATTAACTTTTGTCATAAGTGCTTACTCAACAGGTTTGCTTTCCTTCTTATTTCTTTTCCTTTGATTAATCAGAGATTTTGGGGACTTGAAATATTCTGAAGAACATAAGTAAAAAAAATTCTTCATTATTTAGGGGCCTATAGCTATGTAAAAAGCTTTTAAATTTTTTGGGGCCATGACCAAAGGATGTGCCCAGATCAGGCCCTGTGATTATGTGTTATACTGATTTGATATATAAACAGGTATGGTGAGAAGGCAGAAGAGGTGGGTGCCTTAGATGATTGGCATTGTCCTAAGTGCAGAGGCATCTGCAATTGCAGTTTCTGCAGGTATTATTTTTAGATCTTCCTTATTGCCTTTTGACTTTATTTAGAAAGAGAGAGAGAGAGTCCTTTCTGATGATGATGATGATGATCTTACAGGAAGAAACGAGGGCAAAGCCCAACAGGAATATTAACACACAAGGCTAAAGCTAGTGGGCTATCATCAGTCTCTGAGCTCCTAGATGTTGAGGGTCATGATAAATTTTCTTATCAGAAAAAGCCTAAGCTGGTATTTAACTCTCTTGTTCATGATTCTTTTTTTTTTGTGATATAATCTTCACTTTTTTATTTATTTATTATGAGTATGCTTATTTGATTATATTGTTTATGCAGGAGAATGTTTCCAATGGAGGTAGAAGTTTGCAGCACTGACTGATTATATTTGTTTGCGTTGAAGATGTATTTACAATGGAGAGACTAAGACTAACAGTTTTGATGTTATAAATCAGATACTGTTGTTGACAAGGACAGCAACAAAGCGGAGGGCAAGATCAAGAAAGCCTTGAACAAGACCAAAACCGACTTTCCAAAGGCAAAGCTGGTATTCATTTCTCTATCTTATACTCAAGGCTTATGTGAGATGAAGCTTTATATGTTTGTATTATGCTTACTTGATTATATTGTTTTTTGTAGGAAGATGATTTCATTGAAGGTACATGTGGCATCTGTTTGCTTTGAATTTTCCTAGTACGGAGACTGACAGTTTTAATGATATATGCAGTTGCCAAGGAGAACAAAGCGACGAGCAAGATCAAGAAAGGCTTGAATAAGACCAAAACTGACCTTCCAAAGGCAAAACCGGTATTCATTTCTCTATCTTAATTCAAGGATTTTTGTGATCTAAGCTTCATTATTTCTTATATTATACTTATTTTTTTATTATATTGTTTCTGCAGGAGAATGTTTCCTTTGAAGGTACAGGTGGTGTCTGTTTGCTTTGAAATTGTCCTAATACGGAGATTCTAGGACTAACTGTTTTCATGTTACGAATCAGATGTTGCCAAGGAAAACAACAAAGGGGCAGGCAAGATTAAGAAAACTGTGAATAAGACTAAAAATGGCTTTCCAAAGGCAAAACCGGTATTCATTTCTCCATCTTGTATTCAAGTCTATGTGATCTAAGCTTCATTTTTTTTTAATATATTATTCTTATTTGATTATATTGGTTCTGCAGGAAGATGTTTCCATTGAAGGTTCAGGTAGTGTCTGTTTCCTTTAAAGTTGTCCTAACTCGGAGATACTAAGACTAACTTTTTCATGTTATGAATCAGATGTTGCCAAGGAAAACAATAAAGGGGCAGGCAAGATCAAGAAAGCCGTAAATAAGACCATTCCGAAGGCAAAATTGGTATTCAGTTCTCTATCTTATACTCAAGGTTTTTGTGAGCTAAAGCTTCATATTTTATATATTAATGCTTATTTTATTATATTGTTTCTGCAGGAGGTTGTTTCCATTCAAGGTATGTGTGGCGTCTGTTTGCTTTGAGTTGTGTTAGAAAGGAGAGACTAAGATAAACAGTTTTAACGTTATTTACAGATGTTGCCAAGGAGAACAACAAAGTGGCTGGCAAGATCAAGAAAGCCAAAGTCATTAACAAAGTGAAAGAGGAGGAAATTCAGATTGAGGCTAAACTTCCTAGTGGTATAAGTTTGACTAATGTCTTAGGCATTGAAATACCCACTGAAGAAACTGGAAATGTATTGCAGTTTCTTGAGTTTTGTTCAGCCTTTGGAAAGGTATTTTGGTTATTTGACTTATTATATGTGATCATTCGTTGTGCTGTTTACTCTCTTAATATGCGTTTCATTTTGGACTTTTCTGATAGGCTCTTGATTTGAAGCACGGGCATGCTAAGTCTATTGTTGCTGAGTTTTTCGGAAGTGGGCGTTACACAAAGAGACAACAATACTGCTCTGTTATACCGATGATGATCCAGTTGATGCAAATAATATCACATGATAGAGACATGTATGAATGTTTTTACTTCTGCCCTCGAACAACGTATATATATGACTCTTCTTGTTTCTGATGCATTGGAATGATTCTTACAGGTCTCTGTCTCTAAGTGCAACTGATAGCACTTGGTTCAGTTCTCTTGGGGAGTGCCTATCGCAATCAGGAGTTCTGAGTGATGTTTTCCCGCCTGAAACTTTCAAGTCAGGTGTCTCAGAGTATAAGAAGATGGATGCATCAACAAGGCTCAAGCTTCTCAACTTCTTATGTGATGAATCACTTAGCACATTGTATGTATAGACATTCACTTTTCTCGTAATTATGCTTCGTTATGACTTAAAACACGTGTGTGAAAATAATTATAGGAAAATGAGGAATTTCATTGAAGACAAAAGTAAGGAGTCTGAAACAAAGCAAAGAGAGGCAAAAGAAAAGGCTGCGGCTGCAAGGGAAAAGGTATTTCTATAATCTGTAAGATGATTTTAATCAAAACTCATTATGCTAAATTTGTTTCTCTTTATCCTTATAGGAGAAACAGTTGAGGCAGAAGATGCAAGGAGATCTTATCAAAGCCCATATGGAAAAAAACGGTGCTCCATTGTCCATTGAAGAGCATCACAAAGTTTTGTCTCAAATAAAAGCTGAAGCTAAAGAGGCTCATGGCGAGATGCTGAAGGCAACATCTAGAAGTAAATCTAAATTCCCTTACTGACTCTTTATCATCAACTGTTCTACAAATGTTGTGTTTCATGCTTAAACTGATGAAACCTGTTTGCAGAGAGGCAACGATGTGATGCTGTTAGAACCGACCCGATTCTATTGAATAATGAAGGTCTTGTTCTCTGGAAACTAAAATGCTTTGAGGAAGAACCAAAGTTTTTGCTTCAAGGTGTGAAATTTACTGAAACTCGTTGTTTGTGTTTTTTATGCGAGGGTTTCAAATCTCATTCTTTTATTCATGCAGATATAGGAACATTTGATGATTTATCTCCACATGAAAAATGGTTAGCTTTCAAGCCTGAGGAGAAGCAAGAGATAGAGAAGTATATCTCTGCCAACAGGTAAGCTAATTCTCATAGAGAGGCTATTAGCATTGTTAATTGTAGTTTGGATTTGTAAGGTTAAAGTTAATTAAATTCTTGGGCATGAAACAATATCAATTCTTGCTTCTATTTTGCAGGATGAAATTGATGCGAGCAAAAAAGAATGCAAACGTGGAAATCAATTAAAGAATGAGAATATTGCCATCATTCAACTTTCAGTATTCTCAAAAATTAAACTCATATCTTTCTATTTTTGTCATTTTGCTTATTCTGTTCAGTTCGGCTTAATTCTGTTGTATGATATGGACATGATATGCTTAATCCATGCCAGTCTCTTACTATAATAGGGAAACCTAATCTTGGCTGTTTCATTAATACAGTATTTTGTATCAATATCTTTGGTTGTATAAAGTTGAAAAGAAATTATAAGTGTTTTCAGAAATGAATACATATTATTTTTGCTATTCATTCTAACCTTAATTTACTCGTACAAGATTAATTTGTCAAAAGAACAATTAGCTTTTATTAAGTAGTGAAGTGATTAATGCTATGGAAGTGGATTAGTCTTGTATATACAATCCTCTCTACGTATTTACTCAACTTGGAGGGGATATGGACTAAGGAACGTGTATGGGGACGGACAAAACCACATGATAGTTGATAAAAATATAAAGTTATACATAGGTTTTTTTTTTTTGAAACATAGTTTTTGTTATTGTTAGAAGGCAATTATTCTGATGTTACCATTTGAACCATAAATCTATCTTCATCCGTCTCAGTTACCAGCAATGTCACAGACACACCACGTCATTACGCCACCAACCCATATCGACGCGTTTTATTGCCAAATGCCAACCCCTATATCTATGTGTTTTATGATGATTAATAGTTGTGTCTAGACTTTTTGATGTACCACAGTTTATACGTAAGGAAAAGAAAGCATATGGACACGAATTAGACCCCAAAACAAAAGCACTTTGATTATAAATCCTGACGTTAGATTGAAGTTGAATTTGTGTTTAGAACTCGTTCTTTATATAGTGGTACGACACATTTTTCTGATGGGCTTTTGGATGGAGATGTCTATATAAATAATCAGAACTTAGACATGATGTGATTTCACCAAGAGCATTATGAAGTAATGTAACCACATGTTATAATCAAAGATACTTTGAATGAAAAATGAAGATTTTAAAATGGGTGGTTTCTAAAAATTAAAACCAAGTGGTAGTAACATAGTGACAACTTTTTGGAGTTTGATGTGTACTCACGTTAGTTATGGATTTGATTCTCTCTCGAAACTAAATTATCACTACTTCACTAGTCTGAATTCGAGTTTCGGTCCAAATAGTTTACATGTGGGTCGTAATAGATGATCGGTCTATTCCTTGCATTAATCAGAAGATATTCCAAACTCGAATCAAGCAGTATAATACGCTTTCAAACTAGTCAACTCTGTAACACTAATTGCATTCTTCTCTTGGCCGACCGGATCAGCTGATAGGATTTATCAGAAAAAAATAGAAAAAATGTAAATGTCTCATATTAAAATATAAAGTGAACTGCAGAACATTTGCATAATAGAAAAAAATATAAAACATAAAGTGTACACACAAGTTATACAATTGGGCAAACTGAGTAAACTGCAGAACATTTGCATAGAAAAAAATATTTCTTAAGCATTACAACTATTGGTTAAGTATACTGATTGGAGTAAGAACATGTATTACATAAATTATACTTTCCAACAACTAGTTACGACTCCATTATTTATAGTTTTATAATTATTAAAAATTTATCTAGCAAGACATGTAAAGTCCATCATTGTCGACCTTTGAAGAGGCAAAGAGCATGCCCTTCACAGGATTATCACATGTCGACCGGTGTTCATCCGTACATTACATGTTTTATGATACTATACGCTGTGCAACACTTGTTTTCTCTCCTCTTGTTCTAGAAAAACACTTGTTTTATTTCTTATTAATTAAACAAATAATTTTATATCTCCAATTTAGATTAATTGAATCTCTTGAATAATCAACAGACCCTACAATAAGATGAACAAGTATAACACCCAAAAGTTTCGGATTCATTTGTCTGGATCCCATCATTTGAGGTAATATGATAAGTTCAATGGTATTTATCTATCATATTATTTGTGAAGTGATTTTTTTAATCCAAACTTGAACGTTAAAAATTTAAGCGATTAATATCATTTATATCTTTAATGAATAAAATATATAAATTATCTAAAAAATAAAAATGAATTTAAAATTTATTTGATTAGATAAGTGCTTAACATTAATAATAAGAATTATCCATAATATAAAAATATATTTTAAAATTTTAAAAAAATTATATATATATATATATATTGTTATGTTCTGAAAGTATATTTTAATAAAAATTCAAAATTCAAAAATAAAAACACATACCTATATATTAATCAAGTAAAATTTTTAATTTTATATAATTGAAAAGAAGGTATTTTTGAGTTTTATTTATTTGTTAATAAGAAATATAGTGTACAAGTAAAATTTCAAAAAAAATGTAATACGTAAAATTTTCAAATGATAACATAAATAATAATCTATCAGTATAATTAATAATTCACATATTAATAAATAATTATAAAATGTTTATGTTTATATGTGCGTACGAAATATTTAGTAATCTTGTATTTCTCATATCATTGGAGGCATTTATGTCCCCACATAACATGGTTACAACTTACACCTCTAAACATTATCTTCAAAAATTATAAAGCAATAATTTCAAGAATATTTTCTTCAATTGTTTTGGCTATTTATTTTGTCAAAAGTTATTTCAATTGTAAAATTTTAGATAGTTATTTTCCTTTTTTTCCCAAGTAATAAATTAGAAGCTAATCTTTTTCCATACAGCATTACTGTAACACCAACATTATGCTCATCTCTTCATAATTTCCTAATATTTTGACAAAGGGTTTCCTAATTTAGCTGATTAATCTTGTCATTCACAGCAGAACGAATAAACAAATATTATAATGTCGAAATTAATAATCTATAGTGGCTATAAACAATGCAAATGTGCTATTTAATTCGTTTTTAGTTATTGAACAAAGATTACAAAGGAATCTAACCAAGCCCACGCGTTTTGAAAATATTGTGTTAGAAAGAAAATATAGCATTCTCAAATCATTAACGTATAGCATTCTCAAATTTGCTACGGCAAACTGGTCAATGAGTTGAATATGATAAGATAAAGTACAATATGTAAACTTTTAAATAAAGAACTGTTCACTAATCAACAAAATGTGCGTCACTAAGGGTGGACGGATCGGATATTCGGAGTATTTTAGAATACTCGGATCCAGTTCCAAATTCATTGGATCCGTAAAATTGCTATTCGAATTCGGATTTGGATCTTCCGGATATCTGAGATTCAAATATCTGGACTAAAATTCGAATATCTACGGATATCTGAATCCATTATTTAAAAATAAAAATAAAATAATTAAAATTAAATTAAAATTAAGAATTTATTTATTTAATTAAAAATAATTTTTTGCAAATTTTTTATATAAAACTAAGTTTTAGTTATTTTAATGAAAATTATATGTAATATATCTATATAAATATAGTTATATTTCAAAATACTTTTAAAAAATTTATAGGCTTATATCCAGATCCGAATATCTACACCAAAATCTTCACTCTTCGAATATCCATTTTTTTGAGCTGATCGAACCGATCGCAAATCAGATAGCATATAATAAGTCTCAGCCCTAGTGCCCAGGTCTAGTAAAAGATGATCAACTTGACAAGTTTTGGCAATCTTCACGGCCCGTCAAGCTTCGTGTACAGTATAACTAACTAATAATCACGTTCACTGTCTCTAATATATTTTCAAAATTAAAACATTTATACACAAAACGGGTAACTCATTTTACTATAGTTTCTCTAACAAAAAAGTTACTACAGCATCTCTACGACTCTATTAATGAAATCTCATGGATATCATTCACGTTTTTCATATGTTAAAAGCAAACCATTTAACCCAAGCCATCAGGCCATGTAAGCTTGTTACGTTTATAACTTTATAATTTTAATATTTGTTCTCCTGACGCCTGTATATATGAGTGAAATCTTACTTTCCTTCTCAAAGAGGTACGTATTTACCAGCTAGTAAAAAGAATTGTAGATAAGAGATTACAATGGAGCTTGATTTTCTACATGACTGATGGTTAAGCAATGCTTGACGAGATATAAGTCTTATAGATGCAAAACATGTGTAAAACAGTAAAAGAAGTAAAAAATATGAAACATACGTGGAAAAGAACTTTGGGTGTTTAGATAACACATGTGGATATAGATTTATAGCAAATCTTGTGAAAACGCGCCTCACGCGCCTAAAAACTTCTCTCTCAAAAACGCGTTCCCTTTCCTTCCTCCTTCACCGTCGCCGATCTCGGCGGCGGCTCCCTCCCGCCCTCATGGCCAAGAAAAAACCCCCTAAAATCAAACCTTCAGGTCGTCTCCCCACTGGAGTGGCTAAACCCTCAACCCCCTCAACCAAATCGGTGCCTGTCTCTCCCTCAGCCACCAAACCCAATCCCAGATCTGCTCCTTCCTCGACCGGCTCCGCCGCTCCAGAGACTCAGTTTCCCATGCCTGCCCAAGCTGACCCTAAATCGGCCTTGGCCAAGCTCCCAGACTCCCCAGCTCCCAAAACCCTAGCCGTCGATTCACTGCTGGTTCCTAGCGAGGAGACGGAAGTCCGTACCCCTGCTCCTGCATCCATGGATGTAGCAGCTGTACCCTCTGCGCCTCAGCCATCGTCTGCAGCGGACCTTTGGAAAGGATTTGTCAAGGAAGCCTCCGACAAACTCGAGCCAAAGGAGACACCTTTCCTCCTTGACTCTGGCGAATCTTGCGTCACGATACCTAACGCCGTTGTCGAGAAGAACAAGAAGGCTTGGGAGTACTTTATATTGGGCCAGTTCTATGAAGAACCCCCAGCTAGAGGTGCTGTCCACGCTATTGTGAATGGAATTTGGAGTAGACAACGCCGCGACATCACCGTAAACAAGATGGAGGGCAATGCTTTCCTCTTCCGTGTCCCCTGCCCCAATGCTAGGCGGCGCATCCTGAAGCAAAGCTTATGGCAAATCGATGGTCAGACCATGTTTGTCACCAAGTGGTCTCCGGATATCCAGCAAGACAAACCTGAACTAGACACAGTCCCGGTTTGGCTAGAGTTCACTGGGGTCCCTCTTCAGTTCTTTAACAAGGATGCTCTAAAGGAGATTGCGGGTATGGTGGGTCATCCTCTATGCCTCCACCCGGCTACTGAAAACCTTACAAACATCGAGGTAGCTAGGGTCTACACCGTCATCGACCCGAGGAAACCTCTCCCGGAGTTCGTTAACGCAAGGTTTGAAAGTGGAGATACGAGA